CCTGAACTCTGGGCCTGGGCGCTGTCCCTCAGCTCTTCAGCTCAAGGCTAGCACTCTACCACTTGAGCCACAGCGCCACTTCCGGCTTTTTTCTCTTTGCTTATGTGGTGCTGAGGAATCGAACCCAGGGCCTCATGCATGCAAGGCAAGCACTCTACCACTGAGCCACATTCCCAGTCCCATGGCATTGTTTATTTTAATGAATGAATTTGAACAGACCTGAGGTGACCAGACATCTGGCCTCAAGCCAGGTTTTTCATCTTAATAGTGACATTTGGATCAAGCAATTCTTTCACATTGTACAGTATAGGGTAGAGCAACATCCTTACTTGTACTCACTAGTTTCCAATAATATATTGTACTCCTACCAGTAGTGAAAAATAAAAATGTCTCCAGACATTTGCCATCCAGTGTTTCCTGAGGGTGAGGGGAAATCATCCTTTTTTTTGTTTGTTTTTTCTTGGTCTTGGGTCTTGAACTGTGGGCCAGGACACTGTTGCTGAGCTTTTTGGCTCAAAGCTAGTGCTCTACTTCTGGTTTTTTGTATGTGTGTGTGGAGATAAAAGTCTCACACTTTCCCTAGCTAGCTTTGAATGACTATCCTTAGATCTCAGCCTCCTGAGTAACTAGGATGACAGGTATGAGCCACCAGGGCCCAGCAAAGCCATCTTTGCTTAAGAAAGCACAGCAGTCTAGCGATATATAATGTGTCCTTGAACCCTTCCACTGATTCCTTTTGTTTTCCTTCTCTTTTCTTCTTGTGTTTCTACATTTATTTTCCTTGTCCTCTTTTTTCATTTCTTTTCCATGTCTGCATTATTCTCAGGCTCTCTTTTGATTCCTTTGCACTTTCTACACAGTTTCTAAATTTACTTACTGAGTCCAACAGAGCTGATTCCCAGATGGTTTTTATGGATGTTTCTCCCATTTACAATAGTCAGCCTCCTGCTCGTTTGCCCTATCTACTTGAGGCAAGCCTGTCGACCATGTCAACTTTAACCCAATAGCCAACTCCCAAGTCACTTTTCTCTATCACATTCCAGGGTTTATGGGTTGCCTTTCCTGGTCACAGAGGGTTACCACATACCATATGTCCTTGCTGTGTGTTGTGGGAATACACAGGGGCTTGTAGGCAAGTAGAGAAGTAAAGGACTGAGCACATGTATCTGTCTCTCCAGCTAGAGCCTCATAAAAATACAATAGAGCTTATATACATTAGGTCTTAAATTGTATCCATCTGAGCACTTTCAAGATTTAACTATGAAAGGTTTATAAGAAATGTTTGCTATGTGTCAAGAACATTAAAGAATTCTCAAAACTTACTAGTTAAAAAATCCTCATATTAACAAGTAAGAGAGCATACAAAATACAGTGGTAGATATTTCACCAAAAAGATGGTATACTTTAACATCCATATACTTTAACATGCAACCCAGGAATGATTGTGAATTTATTCCAGAGAAAGGAGAATTTGTTTTCTAAACATCACGTACATAAATATACAGAGCCATTTTTATTTAATTCAAGCAACCTCTGGAAACAACCCAGATGTCCTTTATCTGGTGAATGCTTAAATAAACTGTGCTAAATTCCATACGATGGGATACTACTCAGCCATGAGAAGAATCAGTTTACTGAAATACACAACTTAGATGGATAGCCAGTAAACTGTGCTAAGTTAAAAAATAATAATAATTAAAAGCTAATTCCTAAGGTTTACTGTTTGATCCCATTTATATACCACTTTAAGATGGAGGAATTCTCAAATTGAGGAAAAGATGTGTGGTTTCTAGGGACCCCAGCCATAGGAAGGGTATGACTATAAAAGGCTATCGATGGGGCCTCTGGTGTTAGAGAGGGTTTTGTACATCAGTGACAATGGCCATGTGACAAAACTACACAGAACAAAATATGCGTATTATCACACCAGCCAGTGCATGTAAAACTGATGACATTCCTGGTGTGAGAGCATGTCACATGGTCATGGTTGTCTGACTGGACTATTCTTAGGCAAGCTAGCCCAACTGGAGAAAGCAGAGGGAAATGGGGGAAAAATCTGTGTATTGTTTCTTCTAAGTGCCTGGAAATCTGCAGTTATTGAATCCGGTAAGTTGTAAGCAGATGTATGCTTTTCTTTATCATGGCATCCCAGGAGGATGACTCCAGACTTTTCTGTTTGACTCTACCCTACCTTTAGCTGAGTGCAAATACCAGTTCCAGGCCTGGGGAGAATGTGATCTGAACACGGCCCTGAAGACCAGGACTGGAAACCTGAAGCGAGCCCTCCACAACGCCGACTGCCAGAAGACGGTTACCATCTCCAAGCCCTGTGGCAAACTGACCAAGCCCAAACCTCAAGGTAGGTCCTGGACATCGACCCTCCTATTAATCAATTGGAAGACTCAGGCAAGGTCTTTTTATATGGAAAGTCAGATTTTTCTAGAAGAAAATATTAGCTGGATTGCTCTCAGACCACCATTGGGAACTTACCATATATGAACCATCACAAGTGTGCTTTTCAGTGGGAGAGTGTGAATTTCCCTCTGCGTAGCTGGGGGAAATTTATGTAATCCATTGCTACCAAGAAACCACGTAGTAAAACATACCAAGTAAGAAGGAGAACCTGTACCCCAAATTCTAATCTAGATGAAGATCCTACTGAAATAAACAAATTCATGCACCATTGATTGAGGTGCATTGTACTCACAGTTTAACATGTTGAATTGAAACACCTCTGTACAACTATTTAAGGATTAAAAATATATATATATTTAACCTGTCAAAAGAAAATTCATGAGGCAGAAAACTTTAAATCAAACCACTCCAAGATTATCTCAGCTATCAGAAAATCAGGAAAGTTATTTTTACAGGCTCTCTTTCTTTTCCACATAACCTAAGAGATTGCGGTTTTCTTAGATAACCTCAGAGCCTTTAGACTTTCTAAGGTGGTCTAAATTCAAATTCTATTTGTAACAAAATTTAAAATGTATACAGTGTATTTAAAATGTATACCATGGCTCATGCCTGTAATCCTGGTGACTTGGGATACTAATAGTAGGAGAATTGTGGTTCAAGGCCATCCTGGGCGGAAAAGTTTGAGAGACCCCTCAATTTATAACTGGGTACAGTGGATGCATCTGTCATCCCAAACTTCCTAGGAAGCTGAGATTGGGAGGACCCAGCTTCTAAGCCAACCTGGGGAAAAATTCACAAGACTCCATCTCCACCAGAATTAAATACTGTGGCACATGGCTGTGATCCCAGCCATAATGGGAAGTTCGAAGTAGGCTCACGGCAGCTCAAATGTGTCCCTAGTTGGAAACAATTAATTAAACTAGCCAGTGAGAACCAGGACTGGAGGTGTGGCTCAACAGGTAGAGCAAATGTCAGCCTGCCAAGTACAAGCTCTAAATTCAATCCCCAATACATTTTCCCACCCACAGTGATGTAGTATACTCACTCCCTCTTAGGAAGTCAGCCAGAGAAGGTAGATCAGAAATCAAGTCAAGGAGGTGTTCTGTTATGTTATGAAATCATGGGACCAAATCCCATTTTGAAATTCTATCCCCCAGTACCTCAGAATGTGAGTATATTGAGATACAGCATTTAAGGAATAGCAGTACACATAAGGCCATGTGAGTGAGATCCAATCCAGTGTGGCTTGTGTGTTTAGGAGCGATCGCGGCACAGACACAGGAGGAGGAAGGGTGGTGTGAGGACACAGGGTGAAGACGGCTTTCTGGGAGCCCTGGAGAGAAACCTCAGAAGAAATCAGATCAGTTTGATGCTTTCTTCTCAGACTTTCAGCCTCCAGAATCACACCCACTCTGCTGTACTTCATGTCAACCCTAGAAAACAAATGTAGTAAGCCTAAATGGATTCTGAATTACAATACCCTCTTGGCCTTCTTGCCACAATAATTATAAGGAGAAATTCAGAACAATGAGGATGTAATAAACACTGGCAGTAAATGAAAATAGGGGGAAAAAAAATCTCCTGAAGGCTGAGGTGGGTTGGCTGGTTGGCTTGTTACTATCAGAAAGGATTCTTTTCAAGCTGGGCACCAGTGGTTCCTGCCAATAATCCTAGCTACTCAGGAGAGTTAAGATCTAAGGATCCCAGTTCAAACACAACCAGAGCAGAATGGTCTGTTAGACACCATCTCCAATTAGCCCATAGAAAAGCTGGGCTGGAGGCATGGCTCAAGTGATAGAGCACTAGGCATGAGCCCAAAAGCTAAGCAAGAACACAAGGCCTTACTTCAAGCTTCTGTACAAGCACAATAAAAGAGAGAGAGAGAGGATTCTTTTTGCATGCCAGGTTATTTATCTTCTCTTAGAGAGCTTCCCATGAAAATACTTCCTTCCAAATTTCAGATATCTAGATGTCAAGGGACCGACTGAACCTACAGAGGATGAATCTAGGATTCAGGCTCCCCATTCCAGATTATGGGGCTCGCCGATTGCCATAGTGTATATTTTCAAGGCATGCCAACTTATTCAGTGTCATTTATCCAGTGACTATTACAGGTGAGACTAAATTTGATAGTCCTATCTACTCCCCAAATAGAAGAAAAACTCAAAGACATGCATTTCAAATTGATTGTAAAGCAGCTGCTGAACCAAAATATTCAGCATTGACTTAGAATGGCAAGGAAAGGAAGCTGAGGATGTCTCCATTTCTGGCACAGAGGTTTTTCAACCTGAGTTGCACCTTAGACTTTTCAGAGGGAACTCCAAATTTCAGTGCTCAGGCAGAGAACAGGCTACCAGATCATCCTCAGGCAATCTGAAAAGTTAAGTGAAGCTTACAGCCCCAATTAAGGGCTGCTGTTCTGGTGTGAAGTTCACTGTAAACACCCGAAATTCTCACTGCCTTTTGGACAGGGAAGAGAAGATGTTCAACTTAATTAAAAGAGAAGGAAAAAGTACGAAAGCAACAAGGCTGGGAGATGAATTTGGAAAATGTCCAAATGTTTAGAAGTCTTGGCTTTGTGGGCTTTTCACTTTTTTTCCCATCTAATACTCCTTAATGAAGTTTAAAATTTGTTTCAGGGTTTTCACTTGAAAAATGGTGGTTAAAGTAGGTAGACATTCTGTAATATTCAAGTGGGTAGACATTCAAGTGGGTAGACATTCTGTAATATTCGTATTTATTAAATAATGAAGGTTATTTAATTTATTGAAAAGGGATTTGTCACGTTATGAATTTTATAGACCATTAAAACATAATCTTCCCTTTATGTATAATCTGCCTTTGTTTAAACTAACCAATCTTCCGCTCCTTAACAGTAAAGTTTGTAAATGTCTTTTTTGGCTCTACAGACTGCACAATCAATAAGATTATTGGAGGAGTTGAGCCAGGGAGCTGTATCCAATAGATTTTAAAATTAAAAATAAAATCATTTGACAGTACTAAGGCTTGAACTCAGGGCCTCATACTTGCTGGACAAGTACTCTACCTCTTGAATGACTCCTTTGCTCTTTGGCTTTTTGCCTGTCTTTCAGTTGTTATTATCCTGCTCTTTTGGGCTGACTTTGTACTGTGATCTTTCTACACCCACTTTCTGAGTAGCTGGGATTACAGGCATGTGCCACCATACCTAGTCTGTTTCCAAGACAAGATCTTGCTAACTTTTTTCATCAGGCTAACCTTGAACCATAATTCTCCTATTTCCACTTCCCAAGCAGAGATTTTTTTCAACACATTTTGTGATGTATGTTTTTCATAGTTGAAGTAAAATATAGCAAGTGGCATATGTGAGTTATCTATATTTCTGTATCATTTTTCTCAGATGACCCAAGGTGGATATTATAGTTTTCTTTTTGTGAGTCTCTAACCTGCAAATTTTATTATTGTCATTGCCGTGATTCTGTTTCTATTTCTGTGTACTTCACTTTATCATCATATAAAGTTCTCTATGTCCCTACAGGTAAATATGATTAGAAAAGAGACTGAGAAAACACTGGTTAATTTACTTTCCCAGGGGTGGATCACCAGTGAATGACAGAATCAATCTTGGCTGTCTCTGATCTCAAATTATATTTGTTACCAGCAGATAGCTTACCAAAGTCATATCTGGGAATAGGCAACCTCCTTTTTCCTTTTGAAGTAGAAAAGGGAAAGCTTTTCCTGTGTCCAACAGAAGCCATTTTCTACAAGATTACTTCTATGACAGCTCTGGAGACAACCAACAGAGTAAGATTTGGGGGAACAGAGATCTGGCTTATCATACTGCCTTATGTTGGAACAAGTAGGTTCTTTTTTTTTTTTGTATTTTTAAGTTTTTATTTGAATGAACATACATGGCATGCATACCATGTACTTTGAAAAAGTTTGGGCCCTCTTTTTATTTCTATCTCTTCCTCTCTCCTTACCCCTTTCTCAGAGCTTTGCAGCTTTCATTATGACATATTTGTAATAGGAAAACCCCTGCTTGTAGTAGGAAGTCCCTACTCAGGCAGGCAAGCCCAACTAGTCATCCGGAGTGACAGAGCCCACTGCAACAAAGTTGTTAATAAAGGAGCAACTTTATTGAGAAGGTTCCTACACTGACCAGCCAGGGCCACAGCACAGGCTCTGGAGCTGATACTGTACCCCAAGTGGCCTACTTACTTAGGTTTTTAAAGGCAAAATTCACAAGGTCAAGCTTGGTCATGCAGGTGACCAATGAGATTGTCACACACCCAAGAGATTGTACAGTCATACTAGACCACATGCAGGTGGCCAATGAGGTTACTCTTTGTCACATAATAGCTGTTTAAACCAGCCTATCACTTTTGGTTTAAATGACTCACGAATTCAATGGTAAGGCAGAGCTTATGGTAAGCATACACAAAGGAGGAGTTTAGTGGAGTTTAACATAAGCACGTGAAAAAGGCGGAGTTTATGGTAAGCCAGTGATGTTGCCAGTATGAGCCAGATTACTGGCTATCTGTTTAATGGGTCAGTCCTTAAGAGAACAATGAAGGTGGGTTAAGTTGTTAAGGGGAGGGGGACCTAGAGGCATTCTTTCCATTCCAAAAACTGGGCTGGTTGGAGCTAAGGTCAAGTTAACCTTGTTTAGAGGTTTTTTTCCCCTAAAATCCCTAAAACAAAGGCAAAGCCTGGAAAGAAGTTGTACCAGCTCCAGTCTCCTCTCAGGGCCTACTTCACTCCCCGCTTTGACTTGTTCCTGAGTCGAATCATTGACTCAGTTCTTCCATTGGGATGGAATCATTTTGAGTTCTCATTACCTTTAATTTTATGGCTCCAATCCTCTTTTGTATGAATGACATTAATGCATTAATTACACAAGGGCCAATTAATAGCATCAGGAAGATAAGAATCAAGGTGGGCAGCAATAGCTGAAATCAGAGT